CAGCGAGAAATTGTTTAGCAGATCTGCGGTGGGGGAGGAGGCACGAACGAAGCTTCTTTGTTACTGAATTCATCGGTATCCTCGTGCACGTGAACTCGACGGCTGATATTATGTGCACGATATGATTAAAGTTTCATCGCACGAGATAGCTGACTTTTTATACTTTGCTTTTTATCACATACACACACACACACACACACACACGCACGCACTGATTAAAATCCTTTAATTACAGCCGGCGGGTTATTAAGATTTTGATTTAACACGCGTGTTTTAATCCTGTAACAAGGTATTCAATATTCTCTATTGTCGTTTTTAACGCGATTACAGGAAATAAAGCAATCCGAAAATAAAGAAGGAAAGCAAAATATTTCTTCATTAACGAGAGAAGCTCGAAAGTCTTCAAGTAGTCGCGTACAGGTGCTGAAAGCTTTCGACGATTTGAGATGACGGAAGAGGAAGGAAGAAGGCGAAATAAATCAATAGGTTGCCCGTAATAAGCATCCTTGACGAAGAAGGAACAAAAAGGACTCTGCTTCTTCATCTGGCGACGTAACTCGAAGATCGCCACGTAACGAAATGACCATATCGACGCAACAAGGAGGAAGCACGAGATCGGTATCTTCAATTAAAATTATCGTCGAATATACGAGACTGTGTAATTTTTCAGGTTCGCCAGGCCCTCGAGACGAGACGAGACGAAACAATGTTCGATCACTGGAATTTCCTCAATTTACACAGCGTTGATCACACAGACGATCTCGCCGAGATGCGATCACGATCCCCGTAGCATCATGGACGACAATTATTAGATCGCAGTCCGAATGGAAATTTCCATGCTCTTAGAAATTGCTGAGCTACCGATCGACTGAACCAGGGTTTCAATTAAATCGACGATTTATTCCACGCCGGATGGCACACGCACGCTTATACCGACACGTAATTGCGTACACCGATGCCTCGGACGGAGAGTTTGCCGAGCCGTAATTTATAAAAAAAAAAAATTGAAGAACCAAGCGAGGAATATCGGGCGCGTCTCATCGTGATAAAAAAAAAAAAAAAAAAAAAAAAAAGGGAAAAGAAGCGGCCAAGCGAAAAAAAAAGAGAAAGGAAAAGGAGAAGTAGAAAAAGGTGGAACAGGGGAAAAAGGGAGAAAACGGAGAGGGAAGTCGGACGTTGAACGTGGATCGCAGTAAATCAATAAGGAACGCGTGTTCAGCTCTCTGTTGAAGTTTCGCCGGGGACGCGATGTGTGCCTGCTAATTAAAATATTTCTCGTGATCGATTTCCCTTTGGCCGGCGAATTTTAACGGTCAACGCCAATTAAATTTCTCTGTTCGACCCTCGGATCGAGTTTTTTTTTTTTTTCATACTAACCACACTTACGAACCGGCTCATGAACGAGTGACACTCGATTATTCGAAACGGAAGCTTCCGGTTAGTACCAGGACATATTAACAATACAGCAGTATTAGCTAAATACTGTGTAACATTATCTTGCGTGAAAGATGATATGTTATTAAAAATTAGTCCAGTTATCTGTATTCAAAGCTTCCGGTTAGTATTAGAATGCTAATGGACACAGCAGTATTAGCTAGATATTACGTGACACTGTGAAACGTGGAGGATGGTGTGTGATTAAACAAGATTAGTCTAGATGTAATTACAGTCGAAAGCAGGGAACTTTTATACCAACAAATGGTACAAAAAATTAGTCTGTTTAATAGAAATGTAAATATTTGCACGTTAAGGTAAAAGTTTCTTAAACATTCTCCGGCGAATTAATTGGAAACGAAGGCAAGTCCTATCCTAGGAGGGCAGACATTCTAACTCTCAAATCGAGATTTCAACGATGATAATAACAAAGATTATAATCACTTTCAACCTGTAAATGATACATACAGACGTATGAAATCGCAGTTGCAGGTGAAAATTAAATCAAGCCTAGTTCTCGGCAATGTAATGATTATAATTACACAGATTTCGCTTTGATTAGTCTACTTCGCGGCTGACGAATCTGACGATTCCCGTGGCTTCGTTACACCCGGTAAGTATTAAACAAACTAGTTGGAAAATCATTTTTCCCCGCCACAGCGGAAAGAGTCAGGCAGAGTTCGCGATCGATCAAGTGAATTTGATAATCTCGAAACTCTCACAGTCGAGGAAGCGAAGAGAAATTATGTATATCCTCCGGCTGTGCGTGTGTGTCTGTGCGTATCCTTAATAAACGACGGGCAGAGTAACTAAACTTACGCGTAATGATAGTAGACGGTCGTGTAAACAAATTAAGAAGCACCAGATCGTTCGTAGGGCCGGATCACGATAAGCGGCTCGATGCGCATGTTAACTTTTATCCGCATCGAGATCTCGATCTTTCGTTAATATTGAAATCGTAGCCCACCGGGGGGCACGTCTCCTCCCCCCTCCCACTCCTCCCATTCACCTCCTCTGGCATCGTGCGTATCTTTCGCGCTTCGTCTGGCCTCCAATTCCCTCGTTTTTCCTTCGCCAATGGAACCAAGGAATCGAGGAACCGAGGAACTGCTCCACTCCAACGTGATTCGTTACACGAGCGATTTTATCGCGACGAATCCGCCAGGGATTCCGCGTTTATGCGCTTCCGCGCGATCAGATCTGTGTTTGCCAGCCAAATGATGATCGGAGCTGCGCGACGACGTTAATGTGAACACGAACGTGTTCACGGCAATGTGTGATCAAAGTTGTATTTACAGCGCTATAAAATCATTTATGGGCCCGATTCAATTGCTGGAGCAATTGTCACGATTCGTAACTGAGAGATAATTTCGTTCAGCGATTTTGTTCGAATCGACAATTTCAGATTTCGAAATTTTCTTCAAGCATCGAGCGTGAAGATATAGAGAAGGGAACGATATCTGCGAACAGAATACGTCGATTATATGAAATTTCGTAAAGACGTATTCACAGAAGAGCAAAGACGAAACGAGGCAAACGACAGTTTCGAACGAATGTTAATTAGCGAGTCAAGTAATTTCTGTACGTATGGCGAGTGGCACGGGATTGTGTTTAAACGATAAGACAGAATTAATTCAAATGCATTTTAATTAGCCAGCCAATTCGTGTATGACACGATGATGATGCTCAAGTTACGAACGATTGCCACCGAAGATTAATCGTACGAATTAATTAATTCACGAAAAAAAAAACTGTTTCGCTTTAATTAACGTGCACCGACAGCTCTTCGAGAACTTCAAGAACCGATAGGAGAACTCATGCAAATTTCAAATACAAGGAACCACGTCTCACGAGACACAACGATCTGAACAAATAAAGAGAATTCGAAGAGACACTGTTGTTATTATTAAAGTAAGATATGGCAAGCGTGGTTGCTGAAGTTCAGCAACTTGGATTTCAACACCGCTATCGGCGAATAAAGTGAAAATGTGCAGGGAACAACTTTACTACGTGCCAAAGCGCTTTATCACCCTATATCGAGCTCATAATTAATAATTCGATAGGCGAGCTTATCAACGAACGGCCGGCCAGCCACTTACGGGCCAACAGCCGTGAGCAAGCAATCGTGAAAAACTGGCGGAGAAGAAACGGGGATTCGCGTGCCACGGCTGTAGTTAACCACCGCCGCCATCCTCTCGCCCACCCTAATTACTAACCATGGGTTGTTACCCCATGGCGTGTCATTTGCCTGGCAATCGCATCGTATCGTAACGTTTTCGCGTGCGATCTCCGAGCAGCTGAGCGCCGCTCGCAGCGCCGATTGTTTTAAAGTGTCGATCCTGCTCGAATATCTTCATTCGTCGATTTTTGCGCGCCAACCAAATCGCATCGATCACGATTTATTCGAATCGCGCAATTTCCTCCGAATTTGTTCTCCCTCGCACGTCTGTCGTTACGTCGCATAATAATTCCACAGAGATTGCTTTCCCCGGCTTACGAGAGGAGAAAGAAGCCTTTGGAATTTTGTAACAGTTAATCGGAAAGCCACGGCTCCGGTGCTCGCACGTTTGGAACTTTGAGAGTAATTTGAGAATAATTTTCGAATGAAAGAAATCGGAAATTGAAATTTAAAAATTTCACGACAATAGTCACGTGCTATTTGCGATGAATTACGCGAGAGAGCAAATACATACGTGCGAAAGATTGTTGACAGTTTTTCATTGTCATTGATCACAATTATCCTCTTCGTTGTAAGCGAAAGAGCTCGAACGTACCGAAGCATGAATCATCGATTGTGATGAAATCTTTGAAAAATATTTGACCCTTATTTCTTTTTTTCTCTTTTGAAGGGGTGAAAAACTACCTTGAAAGTTGGAATTAACGAAGATACTATTTTCGTGTAAACTGATGAAATTAATGGAATTTAATGGGATTTAATGGTAAAAGCTTTTGTTTGAATAATATATTTCTTAGAAGTCTTTCCAGGTAAACGTTAATAAATGTTCTCGAATATTTATTTGCGAAAACTATATACGTTTGAACACAAGTTACGGACTTGCTGACAAATCTTGATTTCTGCATTATAAAAGAAATTATATTCAAATCTTTCTCGCAGCCAATCATCGTAACGACCGATGAAATAATACGCGTCGCTCGGGTCCCGATTAATTCGCGTTTTTTTTACGGATGCCGGTGATGTTAACGTTTTCACCGGCTGGATACAATCTATTAGACAATCGACGACAAATGACCGGTCTAACGGCGGATTAATACGTCCACTGTGCAAAACGATCCCACGTATCTCGGAAGTCGACGTCTTATTAAAATACCGTGTTGCGGATCCAGCCTATTTCCCAGCCCTATTACGTTAATATCGGTAGTTAAATCGTCGTTCCAGGCATCATAGGCTCTGATCATTTTCCTTGGTATGTAATGATAGTGGAGGGACGAGGCAGAGATTCGCCTGGCGTAGATATAAGTTAAAAGGATTATTAGATGGTCGATAGGCGAGTGATTTTCGTCATTTTCGTCGGCGGAGCAGAAGGAGGGGGGGGGG